TTCACTTGTTTGCATACTTGACTTATCAGTAACTTTAATTGATATTTTACTACATTTACGTTGAATATTTTTTTATAATGTATGTTTTGATAATAAAACAAAATTAAATTGAAATAAAATATCTAAAAGTTCAGAAAAATATCTAAATATAAATGCAAACATAAATGGAGTATACATATAAAATAAATATTAAATTTATATTAAAAATATAAATAGGCCTATAAATTAATTGCACATCAATACATACTCAATGTCTTCATCCACTAATCTTCCTTATTGTAAGAAGAAAGAAGTATATAAAATTGCGAACAATTAAAAATAAACATGGTTTATCAATCAGAACATTTTACTTTCAGTACATTACCAATCAAGAATAAAGTTACTTTCAGTACAAATAAGCAAACATATAAAAATAAAAACAATAAAAACGACCTAACGATTCACAAATTCTTTTCCAAGGTATCTGAAGCAAAAACTAAATACCAAATAAAACAATCATATCATGGCTCAGGAGAAGTGCTTTCATTTTATCACCTCCTGCAGTCATTTTTCTGGCATCCCTCCACAACTGATTATCTATAATGAATTAAGTCTGGCAGGTGACTTGGAGGTCTTTATCACTCAAGGACGATAAATGTTACGATGAATGTTCCTTCACTGCATGCATACAGAGAGGGCAAAAGCAAGAGTCACACTTGTTTCCAAGAGCCAAGAAAATGTCCTTGATGGCAGTCAACATGAGGTTGTTAGATGCAACAGTCATTTGAAGACATCTGGGAAGCCATGACCTGTAATCGCGCCTTGTAATCAGCTCAGTAACCTCTCATGAGACCTTTAATTGATCAAACAGATTCTAACTAACAGTCTCAGCCGTTGCTACGTAAATCAATCATCCATAACGTCTGCAGATGACTGTTCCCTCTTATTAAAACACACACCCATGTACACAAACACATCACAAATGTGGTAATTGTTTTATAATGATAATCAAGCCTGTTAAAGAAAAAAAAAAACATCAGAATGTCATGCTAATTTGGGGTTTAGCTTACTCTATTTACAGTATACAAACGGATGGATACCTAGATTTATTAAACGCGGATATTAACGTTGATGCTTTTTAACATGCGGCTTGCTTGAACACAAAATACATCTGTGGTGTCAGTCAGCAGATGAGCTGCAAAAGCACAAAGCCACACGACGGGAAGACAGCAGCCACTCTGGTGTTGTACTTAAGAAGCGCTGATAGATCTGATCTCAAATCCATTCCATCCAATTACAGTTACATTCAGTCAGTCGATTTGAGATGCAGATTTATGCACATATGCACAGACTATTTTCGTACCTAGCTAGTGGGAACAGAAATTGTCTGGATATTAGTTCTCAATGTTTAGATCACATTAAAAGCTTTGAGAGGTTGTTTCTGATATATATGAAGACACTACAGTCAATAAACGTACCTAATATAATGAACAAATACACAAAAATCTATATATACACACACACATTTACTTTTCATAGAAGAGACTTTCCATTATACATATTCCTAAAAAAAAATCATGTTTTCCTTCATACATCCCTCTGAAATGTGTGCTTATCACTTGTTTTTAAATTGCCAATAAGTTAACTTTGTCAACTTCTATGAGCGCGCATAACATTGACAGGCTAAAAACCACAAAACTCCAAATCTGATTTCATTTGTTCTTTCCTAATGTTCTATTTCCTATGGACTGATTATCCAGACTGGTTTTAAACATTTGTTTTTATAATACCGTTAGGGGTTGCATCAGGACACAGCGACTGTGGATCCAAGCAACCCAATGTAATGTAATCAAAACGGTGCTAGCCTTTCATTTACGTTATAAAATAAAAGATTATATCAATCTCTATCAGTAAACGAGCTGGGGTTTTCAATTTCAGTGAAAACACTGGTTTGATAGAGAGGCACTTGGCACTGCTCCATTATGTGTAAACGACTCGTTATAAAATAGCCTTTTATAACGTTTTTTTTTAAATATAAAAATACGTTCCCATCCGATGACTGCAATAAACAGTTTATCAAAATAATCATCACCATCGTGTTTTCCCATTTAAAAAGACATGTCAAAATCACACTTAATGAACAACAACAACTCAGTCATAGAGTAACGCGAACGGAAAGTTCCACAGCACCACCAAGTGGATTTAACTATAGATGTTTCTCTGAGAAAAAAGGGAAAAGTTACAAACAATAAAACTGACATAAACTGAACTAAAATAGACGAAAATGTAATTTAGGGCAAATTAACTACGATAAAAGTCAACGGAGTAAATAGTACGCCACTCTACAAATGAGTTACTGGATATACTGAATTAACTGCTTTTCATATATTTTTCAACCATCACGATCACTAAATATAAACTTACTGAACTTACCTCTTCCACTGTTAGTGGCATGCATATCCGGTATTCCTTCATCAACATTGTCCTCTCCTTATGATTCCCACGCTAGATCGAGTGCCAATGATCATCTAAATCAATTCAGCCATCTGGTGATGAATGCAATCACGAGTTGTCATATATAAATATGGGAAATATCAGTGCACATCTATGGGAACGCTCTGGCCGTTGTGTTCGCAGCGAACACTTTCCGCGCACAGCTTGTGGTGATGTTGTAATGAATTCACTCTTGGAATTTGCCGATGCTCCTGCGCTTTTACGCACAGGGAAACGCGCCAGGAACGCACCAGAAATCCAGTGGAGAAGGCGATTGTCGCAGCCTCTCGGTGTTTATGGGGTTTTAAACTTTAAAACGAAGCGGGTCTTTGCTCTCGTCTTCTTTGTAACGTAGCCCTGCACCCCGTGCACCTGTCCCGTCCTGCTCCGCATATATGACGATCCAGCGATGGTTTGCGTAAATCTCAGAGCGAACTCGGTGCACCTGGAGTTAGTGGCATTGTTTTCCTCGTCTAGTGAATTGAGAGATGTTGCCCAGCTGTCGTTTTCTCCGCTGCGCTAACGCGGGATGGTAAGTTTGCAAGGAGAAAGACACAATGTGGCGGTGTGGCGCGACGCATCACAGGGTTTCGTCGGACGATACCGCCTTCAAGCGACTGGCGGCGCTACTGGCTGCAATATCACAAACCAACCGCAGCAATAAACCCAGCGAAAAAGAGTTCGTTTGTTTTGTTTGTGAGTTTGCAAGTGGTTAAGAAAACCAAAACCGGGTCGCTTATTATGCTCTGTAACATATAAGACACTACAACATGTAAGATACTGTGACAAGTATTAAATAAATGAATATCAATATTCAGTAAATATTAAAAAAGATGTAAAAAGTATTCAATGAATTTAGAAATATAAAATATCTTAAAATACATTATTATTAGGCTATTATTGTTGTTGTTATTATTATATTTGACAGAATAGAATAGATTTAGGGATTTATTTTTACTTTAATTCAGGAAGGATGCATTAAATTGATTCATCAAGGAATTCTGAAAAAAGTATGACAGTTTCCACAAAAATATTAAGTAACAAAACTGTTTTGAATAATAATTAGAAATGTTTCTTGAGCTGCAAATCAGCATATTAGAATGATTTCTGAGGGACCATGTGACACTATCCATCCATTTATCAATAATAATAATAATAATAACAGAACACTTTTAATTATAATATTTCACAATATTAATGTTAAATTACTATTAGATGTTGTGAGCATACACTACAGTCAAAAGTTTTTGAACAGTAAGATTTTTTATGTTTTTTTAAAGAAGTCTCTTCTGTTCACCAAGCCTGCATTTATTTTGATCAGAAATACAGCAAAAGCAGTAATGTTGTGAAATATTTTTACTATCTAAAAGAACTGCTTTCTATTTGAATATACTTTAAAATGTAATTTATTCCTGTGATGACATCATTAGGCTTCAGTGTCACATGACCCTTCAGAAATCATTCAAATATGCTGATTTGCTGTTCAAGAAACTTTTTTTATTATTATTATCAATATTTAAAATGGTTGAGTACATTTTTCCCCCAGGTTTCTTTGATGAATTGAAAGATCTAAATGTCAGCATTTATCTGAAATAAAAAGCTTTTGCAACATTATACACTATACCATTCAAAAGCTTGGAGTCAGTATATTTAAATCATTATATATTTATTATTAAATTATGAAATTATAGATTTTAATACTTTTATTTAGCAAGGATGCATTAAATTGATCAAAAGTGATGATAAAGACATTTATAATGTTTCAGATGTTTAATTTATCTATTTCAGATAAATGCTGTTCTTCTGAACTTTCTATTTATCAAAGCAACCTCAAAAAATCTACTCAGCTGTTTTCAACATAATAATAATAATAATAATAATAATAATAATAAATATTTTTTTGAGCAGAAAATCAGAATATTAGAGTAATGATGCTAAAATCACAGGAATAAATTACATTTGAAAATATATTCAAATAGAAAGCAGTTCAAATAGTAAAAAATATTTCACAATATTACTGTTTTTGCTGTATTTTGGAGCAAATAAATGCAGGCTTGGTGAACAGAAGAGACTTCTTTAAAAAAACAATAAAAACCTTGCTGTCCCAAAACCTTTGACTGGTAGTGTAAGAGAAAATAATTGCAAATAATTTTTAAAATAAGTCAAAAATCCGAATGATTGCAAACTTTTGACCAGTGGCTAGTGTGAAGTTGAAGTTTTATACAAATCCATTTGAATGTTGAATAAAGTGTCTGAGGTACATCTAATATTATACTGAGCAGAAAAAAACACACCGTCAATATAATACAAAGTATTTATTTTATTTTATTTACAATATAAAAGCCAATTCTTAATTAATTAAATTATTTATTTATTAAACAGCCAAGTATTAGTAATAACACAACTCGGTATAAACGGCTTTTCTACATGCCTTTATATTTTAGGAAGGGAGTGGGAGAGGGGACCGTCATATTTGCGGGCCCTGTAAATAAAAGCTAAAAGACCCCTGCTCTAAAGTGTGAGGGTCCTGCGCTGGCAGGAACCAGTGCGCAGAAACATTTGACCCACAATGCACTGCGAGAGGCTGACAAGTGGATCCAAGATGGCGTAGAAAGTAAAGCTAGGTAAGTGCAGACTTCCTCTAACACCTTTCTGAGGTGCACCGTTCGCCCTCCTCACCTCTGCCTGCCGTCGATCCCGACATCCAGATGCGGCTGTCAGCTCGCGTGTTCCGCGCGTCGGAACGCGAAAAATCGCGACGCGCGTTTGCACGATTAATGTGATGATGAAAAGGCCTGCTCGCAGCTAAAGATGTTCGCGTCTAACTGCGATATTAGCGTCACATCTGTGCCGTTCATCACGCGCACGGACAGATGCATGAGTGCAGGGTATATTTGAGTGAGAATCAGTGCAGATTGTTTGGTAAATGTTGCAGGATAATGTGAATCTGTGTGTCCGGGGGCGGCTGGAACTCAAGGCCAAGGGAGCAGCGATCATCGCAGTCCACATACACATATTATAACCTTTCCCTCTCGTGATTATCAACCGCTATGCTCGTCCCGTAATCATATATCGTATATCACCGCGCGTTGTGGCTGATTTGGTGTGTATTTGCGTTGATTTGGCGGCACACACGCAGTTGTTGTTGTTCTTCTGGGTGGACACAGTGGCTGTGTTTCAAAACCTAGCGGGCTGCCTTCCTAGACATCACGTTTGGGCGTCGTAAGCGCATTTTTCGAACGTTCTAATCGAACCGGTTGAACGTGTGAACCGAACGCTGGAACCGAACCGCGATGCCCGCTGATGTTGTCTGGGTAGGCAGCTCGCTAGCTTTTGAGACGCGGCCACACACTCGCACATCTATTATTAACTGACCCGGAATCCAAATATAGAGTGTTTATATATTTTACTGAGGCTATGTTGCCTTGTTTGGTGTGCTGGAGGTTAATTAGATGTTGGTTTGCGAAGACTGTGTGTTATTGTGTGATATCTGACAGCCCCATTCTCTGTGTGTGGAAGTGAGAGAGACTCTGCACAGGGTGTGTGTGTTATACTGTATACATGGAAACTAGACGTTATGCAAATATCAACAACAATACAGTTATTTATGTCATGTTATAGGTTTGTCATGTGAGACTACATGAATATTTTCTTGCCTTTCTATAAGCAACCTTTATTAACAACTTGCAGGATCCAATGGATTTGATAGATATTTACATTACATTTCATTTTACATTATATAAGTTATTGCGATCACTAACTCTAGTTTGTATACATTTGTTTTATATATCATATTTCAATATACAACTTTACAATAGTAGTAACCTCTTTAAAAGGTTTTATATAATGCTTTATATTAAAACTATTTTAAGAGGTTAGTATGATTTTGCCCAGATTTTTTAAAAGAAAAGTATAAGCATATTATTATTATTATTATTATTATTATTAATAATATAAATGCATTCACCAAGACTCAACTACAGTCATTCTTACTGCAGTAAATCTGGTAATGTGGTATAATGCTTTGTATTAAAACTATTTTGAGAGGTTAGTATGATTTTGCCCCAAATTTAGTTTGTATAAATGCCATTTTAACATTAGTAACAATAACTGTATTATTTATGGTATTTTGTTGGGGACTCTAGTTTCCATAGTACATTTGCAAAGCGATGGCATTTCTAGTTATTTTATGGTCCATTACTGTTTAGAAGATTATTTTAATTTGTATTTAAAGTTAAGCCCATGACCGAACTTGTAGACTAGCTGTTGCTGGTGTCCGTTCATATTATGGTCAATATTAGAAATAATATATTAGGGCTGCACGATAAATCGCATGCGATATTTAACGCGCATCTTGTCAGTAAAGCCATTCTGTAATCGGCGGATCTGTAAATATCGCATGCGATTTATCGTGCAGCCCTAGTCAATATAATATAAAATATAAATATAATATTTAGCTTTTAGATTAGTGGGTTGGATTTTGGTTTAGTTGCATGGAATACAATTTCTGGAGCATTCACTCGAACCAAAAAAACACAGCAGCCTCCACTAACTCAGCCCAGATGGACGTTACAGCTGTGACCTAATTATTACAGAAAAGGAAAAATGATTCCACACTACAACAGTATTCGCACAAACCAGTGCAACCGGTGTGAAAATGAGTATTTGAATGCCATTTTATGTGTTCAGCACATTTCCCAGCAAGTTTTAGCTAGTTCTTCAGATAAACAAACTTTTGAATGTGTCTTCTGCTGCTTTTATAGTTGTTTCTGCCTTGAATAATAATCATATTTTGAGTTGTTTAACCATTTGTGTCTCCCATGTCAGAAACTCTGTCCCAGAGTCATGGAGGACAGGAGGCCACAGAAGTCATGTGACGAGGCCATTGGATCATTAGTGAGGCAGGAGTATGAGGCGGCAGTGGCTCACAGCACAGAGGCCCTGCTGGCCATGGGGCCCCGGACCCTGGCCCCCAGCACGGCCTTCCTCCGAAAGCGTGCCCTGCTCTACCGCATAGCAGCACGACTCCAGCTGGTGAGGCTGCATGTCAAACTGCATGTTTCCTTAACTTTATTACTGAAGTGTTTAGGCAATTCATGTGCTATGAATTTGTTTTATACCTTTTAATTTTTGTGGTGTTTATGAAGCCGTAAGTGAGCAGCACTGAAGATCAGGACATACCAATGCCGCTAATCAGACATTCACTTCACAGACTTTTATATACTGTTTTGTCACTGTTACTTAACCAAAAATGAAATAATATTCCCATTTGTGTGGTGACATGTATTCATTTATTTTTGCAAAAAACAACTGCAGTGTTATTAATTAAAAAAATATATTTAAAATATAACTGTCTTTGAAGATGAGCTTGACTGCAGACTCAGTTGTTAGTCTGTATATGACTAGGTTCAAGAGTCAAATAACTATAAAACTAGCATCTGCTGAATGTATTGTTTCAGGTGAAAGCAGTGTTAATTTTGACAGCAAATTTTGATTTTGTTTTAGTCATAGTTTTTTTTACTAAAATGCCATTTAGTTTTAGTCATATTTTAGTCATCTGAATTGTTTTTAGTTTTAGTCGACTAAATATCATAAGATTTTAGTCGACTGAATCTACAGTAAATGTAGTCGGCTAAAATGGATGCAATGTACTGATACACGTTCTCCCTGCTGTTTACGTTTACTTCAGACGTAATCAACTGTGTTTATGTGAATACTCGTCAAAATGGACAATTTGAAATAATTTTGTGTAATTCTCCGTTCATGCGACGCGAAAGAGTACTTTCCGTGTGTGTATGCTTCAGTGTCTGCGCTCAGAAAACCGCACCGAATTGAGTTCTCTCTTGCGTTGTTAGATTTATCCATATGTATGCTCTTCTCCTACTCCCACATATTGACATTTTTGAACGTTTTATGCGACGTGCAGCAAGTGTATGTTAGCTTATGTGCCGCCGGTTCATATGTACACATCTAACCTCCGAACCACGCAGCAGATTCTTTCTGAATGAATCAATCTCTTCCCAAATCATCCCTCCCTAACATTTTCGTCTTGTTTTTATTCGTTGACGAAAATGTCAATAGATTAACGTCATAGTTTTTGTCATTCAAAAAGTTTTAGTTCGTTATCGTCTCGTTGTCGTCGGTGAAAAACATGTCTTTGACGAAAATTATTCGTCAACGAAATGAACACTGGGTGAAAGGTTTGAGTACATCAAGAAAATTGTTAGAAAAATAGTCAATATCAAAAACGAAGAACTGTTTACATGCTTAAATATGAATTAATGTGGACCCTATAATTTTCATTATAATTTCTTAGTTATTTATGCACCCCAATAGCATATAGTTTTGATTAGGAGAGTGGATAAGTAACAAATGACTTGTGCTTTTTTGATTCAACAGAAGGACTACGATCAGGCTGATGAAGACTGCAAGCATGGTAAGATAACAACAACAACAAAAAATATTATTATCAGCAGGATTTACCATTGACCATATTCTTTGGCCTCTGTTAGTACGTTTAGTATTTAAAAAAATTTACTGTTAAGTTCTTTCAGGTTGAATCTGTGTAAATGTTTTTTAAAGGGATAGTTCACCCAAAAATAAAATTTCTGTCATCATTTGGTCACCCTCCACTTGTTCCAAACCTGTATGAGTTTCTTTGTTCTGTTGAGCACAAAAGAAGATATTTTGTAGAATGTGGGTAACCAAACAGTTGACAGTAGCCATAGACTTCCATAATATTATATAAAAAAAATAAAAATTACTATGTAAGTCAATGGCTGCCAGCAACTGTTTGGTTACTCACATAAGAAAGAAATTCTACAGGTTTGGCGGGTGAGTAAATGGTAAACCCAAACCAATCTATGGTTAATATGCAGTTATCTGATACAGCAGCATCCATGGTATGATCTTGCTATTCAGGTGTGACTTATGGGTAAACTGTAGCCTATTGGTTTCATCTTAATAAAGGTCATGAATATCACATAACAATACACCAAGAATAACTAACCACAAAAGATTGTTCCTGGATTAGTGATTAAGTTAAAAGATTACCCATTACTTTTTAATCACTGTTGCTGGAGAAAACTTTAGCCTTTTTTCTTTTCTCCTAAACAGGTCTGGACACATAACATAATTATCAAAAAATAAATACATTGATTTGTTAAATAATTAATAAAATGCAGCTCTTTATAAGGTTATAAAATATTATATACTGTATATATATATATATATATATATATATATATATAGTAGAAGTGTAAATAATCTATTTAAAAAGATGAAAACAAGATGAAGCGTAAAATAGTATGTCATATCAAAATTGCGATACCTGTGAAATTGATAAAAGGCTCTCAAGTAGAACCATGGCTCTCATCAGACAGCTCAGGATTATGGGATGTCTGGTTTGTGTGTGGGCTGGTTTGATGACTCGGGTGTGTTGGTGTGTTTGTTCATGTAGTGTTTGCTGAGGAGCTGGGGAAGGGAGATGGCAGTTTCAGGGCAGGTCTTCAGAGTATGCTGCTGGATGGAAGCTTACAGGAAGTGTGCAGTGTTCTCTCTAAAGCACTCTATGGAGAACCACTGGTAAACCAACTCACAATTCCTTTCCAAATGAGCTAGCTTGATGTATTATGTTTCAAATTGACATCATGATATATATCTTGGATTTTATCATGCTTGTAAAAGCTTTTAGATATTTTTTAGTGAACTATCTACATTTGTTCATTTTAATGAAAGGAATTTTAGAATATGCTGTAAACTTTACACTGTAAAACTCACAGTTTTGCTCTCAACTTGAGTTTCTCTAAACTTTACAGTTGCACTGTATTTTTCTCCAAACCGTACAAACTTCTAAGACTTGCAGTTTTACAGTTGAGCAAGATTTACAACTGGACTATAAACTTCAATTTTGCTGTAAATCTTACAATTATTTTCCCTCTCAACTTACGGTGCTTTGAAAGCTTTACAGTTTTGTTATAAATTTTACATTTGTGCTGTAAATTTTGCATTTGCACTGTAAACGATAGTATAACCCTTTACTATTTTGTTCTAACTTTTGCAGTTGTGCTATAAACTACAGTTTGTTTAAAATATAACATTTTGCTCTCAAGTTTAGGTGCTTTGTAAAGCTTTACAGTTTCACTCTAAATTGTGAAGCTGTGCCGTAAGCTTTACATTTGCACTGTAAACTTCCATTTTTCCCCAAACCTTACAAACGTTTAGGATTTACAGCTTTACAGTTGGGCTATAAACTTCAATTTTGCTTTAAAACTAACCATTTTTTCCTCTAAATGTAAGGTGCTTTGAAAGCTTTACAATTTTTGCGCTAAATTTTACATTTGTGCTGTAAACTTTGCATTTGCACTGTAAACATTTGTTTTGTTTTGAACTGGACAGTTTTGCTCTCAGCTAAGTTTTGTGTAGCTCTTTACTGTTTTATTCTAACTTAAACTACAATTTAGTTCAAAATGATTACATTTTGCTTTCAAATTAAGGTGCTTTGTAAAGTTTCACTCTAAATTGTAAAGTTGTGGCCTAAACGTTACATTTGCACTGCTAACTTCAGTTTTTCTCTAAACAGGTGTTCTGAAAGCTTTACAATTTTACACAAAATTTTACAGCTTGCTATAAACATTGCATTTGCACTTTAAGCTACAATTCTGTCCTCAATTGTACAGTTTTGCTCGTAACCAAGTTCTCTGTAAGCTTTACAGTTTGCTTTTAACTTTTACAGTTGTGCTGTAAACTACAGTTTTAAACTTTACAATTTTGCTTTCAACTTTAGTTGCTTAGTAAGCTTTACAGTTTTGCTCTAAATTCTACAGTTGTGCTGTAAAATTTACAATTGTTCCTTAAACTTCAGTTTTGCTCTAAACTTTACAATTGTGCTTTCAACTTTAGGAACTCTGTAAGCTTTACAATTTTGCTCTACATTTTACAGTTATGCTGTAAACATTACACTACACTTTTTACCTTGAATTTGCTAAAATTCACTGAAGCATTTTGGTTCTCACAGAATGGGATCATGACTAAAGACATGACAAGACTGAAGAGGCTCCTTTCAGAAATAGTGGTCAGTTTGTCTTAACTATTATTGTCATCTTATATTTCCCATGCTTAAAGTCTTTACGCCCAGTCAGCGTCACTTGTGTTTCCATTTCTCTGTGAAAACGGTAACCCTTGCCTTCAAATGACTTTCAAGTTTCAAGAACTAGTACCTCTCACCACATCTTTTGTGCTTGACTAAGAGACATGTTAGAATAGTGTGTTTATGCGTATGAATCACGAGGGTGGTCTCAATTGTAGGCTGTGAGGAGTAAAATGCCGTCAGAGTTGACTGAAGAGAACGAGGAGGGTGAGTTCCACTTCAGTTTCACAATGCATCCAGGATCCATTTTCGCCTCTGATATTCTAGCTCTTATGTGAGCTTGGGTGTTTGCTCTGACATGCTATCTATCGTTTTTTTTCCCTCTTTCTTTCTTTCTTTGCGATGTTCTCCGGACAGACGTTCAGGAAGGCTGGCAGTTTCGTCCTCCTCCTCGAGGGGTCACTAGTAGTGAGGAGTACACATTGTGTAAAAGGTACACTAGTCCTGACAGCAAATAGCACTTATTCTAGTGGTGCTGATGTCAAAAATAACAGAATAATAATAATGTCAAATAATCTTACTTTTATTGATTTGTAGATCTAGATTTTTACTAACATATTAATCTACACTTTTTTTTTCAGATTTCCAGAGTTGATTTTCTGCAGAGCTTAGCTGTGCATTATTTCTCTCTTGTTGATTGATTGATTAATGTGCTGTTTTGTTGATTACGGTCAGGTTTTTAGAGCAGGGTCTGTGTCGGTACGGAGCTCAGTGCACCTCGGCTCACTCTCAGGAGGAGCTGACAGAATGGCAACGGCGCTACGCCTCCCGACTCATCCGCCTCAAACAGCAGCAGGAGGGCAAGCACTTCACCGAGAACTACATGGAGGCGCTCATCGAGAAATGGATCAACTCCCTCACACCAGAGAGAGTGGTACAGTCCTCTTGACTGAGAATATCTTAACGGTTCACTAGAGAGGTGTTTTGTTTCTCTCTAATAAGTTGCAACCAGTTTACTTGAGGGAAAATTAAGTAGTGATGCACTGAAATACATTTTTGGTATTGGGCGAACATTTTGGATGGCCAAAATCGACCAAAATTGTGACGTTTAATTAGCGCAATATCGATTTCTCGTTTTTTTTTAAACTATCTTCATTTTGATGAATCAAGATCTTTTATTCTGTTATTTTCAGTTGATGGCATGAACCTCTTATTTGTGGTGACCTACCATTCATTAATCTCAATAAGCTTTGGGTTTTGTTACTTTTAATATAGTACAAAGTCTCCAATTCTGTCAATTTGATCACAAACTTCAACCAAAATATGTGCTTTTGACATTCTTTGTGGCGTGACAGATCACTGTAGCCGCCTCAGTTCGACCTGTCATCTCTTTCTCTTTAATAATAATTATAACACAAAATAAACAAGAATAAACTTTAGGAAAAATTATGAAATGTCGATAATCGCTCAATCAGTATTTCAACCGCAGAAAGACGTCAATGTCTATAAACTTGTTAGTTAGCTGAAAAAAACACTTTAGAATAAGGACCAATTCTCACTATTAACTAGTTGCTTATTAGCATGCCTATTATTAACATATTGGCTGTTTAGTATTTATAAAGCACATATTCTGCATGACCATATTCTACATCCCTAATCCTACCCAACACCTAAATTTAATAACTACATTACTAACTATTAATAAGCAGCAAATTAGGAGTTTGAGGCAAAAGTTATAGTTAATGGTTTGTTAATGGCGCGAATTGGATCTTAAAATAAAGTGTGACCAAATTTTTTTTATTACAGCCGCTGTTGAAATATTTATATTTGAACAATGCACTGAAGTAGAAACGTAAGTAATAGTCAAAATGTTTATATAAAACTGCCTTGCGTGTAATTTAAATGTTTATATACAAGGGTAAATTCGTAAGTCCATTTGACTAATTAATTATTAAATGAACTTTGTTTTCAGTTTTGGGCTAAATAAAAACTTGGTTTTAAACTTTTGGTTTATTTTGCATTACTACTCTGAAGTCTACTACTGATGAATAACTAGTTATACTACAGACTGATAGCGAGACCCATATGTAATTTACAGTATGCTTTTTGGCAACTCTTTGGCAACCGTTCACAACACCGTAGCATAATATATTTTTACAGAAAGAATATTTTTTACATGCTGTGGCCCTGTATAGTCAATAAGTCAGTCAGAAGCGGTTATCTGTGAGCTGTTGCAGATGTTTCTGCTCGTCTGTTGATTTAATGGTTTGCTGTGTCATGCAGATGAATGACTGTGTGGATGGAGTTACCGTGGAGCACAGCTCAGATCTCTCAATTACCGTCAACACCAAGAAATCATCTCACTCCTGGACATTCACACTCTTCTGCAAGGTTTGGGCAAGCTAAGCCTCTCTTTTCACAAGCTACAGAGTGGTGGAGAGTCATTTGTTTGAAGAAAACATCTTCAAATTAGTGTTCAAATCTGATCATGTATTCAAAGTCAATGCAAAATCAATTTACCCAGTTAATACTCATTCTTATTGTGCATGTTATTCTGAAGATTTTTTTTATTTAATGCAATAACGCTTTTATAAATAATAGCAAATAATATTGTTCCTATCCCCTACGCTAACTTGTTTCTTTGTTCGTTGAGTTTCCTATTTCCTGCATATAGAATTAAAATGGGTCTGTTTCATGTTAGGTTTAAAGCCTTAAAAGTTGCTAGTGATTTTGGAAAATGATTTGAATCAGTCTCCAGGAATGACTCTCAAACTGGGATTTGTTTTGTCACAAACAGCCGGTCCGGAAGCTACACCGCATCGCTCTGCTTTACGATGCCAACCGGCCACATTTCTCCATCACGGTGGTCTCGGCCGGGGACGCATCTACCCAGGTGCCCCAGGAGGTGTGTGAGGGTGGCTGTCAGGAGTGGAGCGCCGCCGGCCTGGTGCAGAACGGCATGGACCACTGCCTTTACACTGTGGTGGTCTCCTTCAGCACAGAGATCTTCGGAACCTTCCGGCAGACCGTGGTGTTTGATTTTGGCTCTGAGCCTGTGCTCATGCAGCGAGTGATGGTGGACGCCGCCTCCATTGAAGGTAGGACAGCGGGAAAATGCTTAAAAGTTACTTGTTAAAGAATTGAACATTCTTTCGCTCAAACCTCATGTGGTTTCAAAATGCAGGACTTTGATTCTTCTGTGGAAAACAAAAGAACATTTTAGAGAGTTCATACTGTTATTTATTTAAAAAAAAAATTTAATTCGATGAGTCAATAGCTCTTTTAAAGCTCCACAAATAACCAAAAAAGCACCAAGTCAAGTGCCTCCTGCTGAAAATTTGCTTTTGCAGCAAAGAAAAGAATAGAGGTCGACCGATAGTGGATTTTGCCGATACCGATAGCTAGGTTGGACCACACTGGACGATACCGATTAATTAACCGATAGTTTTTAAAAAATGGATACTGAACAAAAACTAAAATAGTGCTTTATTAAAAAAAAACAGTACTGAACCATACTAGTAGTAGTAGTAATAATAGTAATAGTAAATGTTGAAATTAACACACTCTAACAAGGAACAATACTTACACAGCTTTCATTAATCTTAATGCTACAAATGGACTCTTATTTTAAAGTGTTACCATTTCATTTCAACTGTCATGCTTAAAGTTGCACATCTTTAAATATATACACATAGTCCATAGCATTAAAATTATATACATATGGATATTGTATGTATACTCTCACACTTTAACTGCTTCTATTCTTGAACACTAAATTCGCGTCTGAAGTTTCCCGCTCTGTTCAGCGTGCAGTATCAATAGCATGTGCTGTCAGTGATTTCAACCACTAGAGGGCGCTCTCGCTCTGTATAATGACAGCAGACCCTTCTCAGCCGCTCCAGAAACGGACGCAAGCCGGAAAACTATCGGCATGGATTTTTGCCGATTACCGATAGTTCCAGCAATCAACTATCGGTGCCGATTAATCTGCAAAACCGATACATCGGTCGACCTCTAGAAAAGAACCTATGAATGTACAGTGTATATATACACACTGTATATTGTAGCATGTGTATGTATATGGCAAAATTAATATTTATTACAGAAAAATGTTTTGTTTAAAAAATATATATATATTAAGTCTATTTTTTATCCTCTTTGTCTATCTCTTGGTTTTTCTTACCTGTTTACACTACCGTTCAAAATTTTGGGATCAGTAAGGGTTGTTTTTAATCACTTTTATTAAGCAAGGAAACATTAAATTAATTAAAGTGATAAAGACTTTCAGACTGTTACAGAAACATTAATCAAATAAATGCTGTTGTTTTGAAATGTATCACAGTTTCCACACAAATATTAATTATAATAAGCACTAGCAGGACACCTGTTTTCAGCATTGATAATGTTTCTTGAAAAGCAAATCAGCACATCAGAATGATTTCTGAAGGATCATGTGACACTGAAGACTGGAGTAATGATGCTGAAAATTCAGCTTTGCATCACAGAAATAAATTACATTCAAATGCATAGTTATGTAATATTTCACAATATTACCGTTTTTACTGTAACTTTTTAATGCATGAAGCATGTTTTAGGTTTTAACTCTGTGAGAGAACTTTTTTTATTCAGTTAACTCTTTTGAAGAGATTTTTAACAGAGTTAAGCCAAATACCGGTTTAGAGTTTTTAGCAAAAATAAATAGTAAAAACATGATATAAATCAGCCATAAATGAAAATAGCCACTGAAGCTGGCATGGCGTTAAACACAAACAAACAAACAAACAAACTGCATTTTCAATCAAGCAAAATGCAACCTTGATGAGCGTAAGAGACTTCTTAAGACTTTCACTGACCCCATACTTCTATACATCTATAACGTAACTATGAATTTATAGCTTTCATATTCTCGCAAAACAATGGCAAGTTGAATATCTTCAAATTATGATAAATAACTCGAGCACTTTATTCGAAGTCTTCTGAAGCCATAGGATAGTTTCATGTGGGGAACATAAAGTAAGTTATTTGTTAGTGCACTTTCTGCTTATTATCTCCTCTATTTTTTATGAAATCTATGTCTAGAGGTCCTAACTGCATACATATCAGTATATTGTCAAATGTAACCCTAGACTAGCATTTCTTCATTATCCACTACCCATAATCCCACAGATCTGGAGCACTTGATGCAAGCGCGACAGCAGCTCCTGATGACCGCTAAGCGCTGGGACTCGTCATGTAAAACCATCGTGGAGTTTGTCCCTAATGAAAACATGGATCTAGAGCGCAGTCTGCTGACCCGCTATCAGATCCCCCTCTCTGCCGACCAGCTCTTCACCCAGTCTGTGCTGGACAAAACCCTCACCAGAGACAATTACCAGCCCCGCTTTCACGATCTGCTCTACATCGAGGAGATCGCTCAGTACAAAGAAGTCAGCAAGTGAGTAGTCTCAGAGGATCACCGTCAAGTCTGGTCCACAAGAGTGGCTCTCTGACCGATATGTGAAACAACCATTCATAGTTCGTTTAGAATGTGAAGGGGTTGGTAATTATTGATAGTTATAAAAGCTATATAGTTGATAAAAGCACAGTAATAGACTAGCATAATAGCATAGCAGTCTTTGTGGAAGGTTGTTGTGTTTGAGGTTTTACATGAATACAAAAGCATCCAAAAGTACTAATTGTTTTACATAACTCAGAAATCATTGATGAATGTACAGTTTTGCTGATGAAGGATAACCTGTTTACATATTGCTTAGACATTTGAAGGATCTAATGCAAGGATCCTCAAATCTGGCCCACAAGATCCACTTTCCTGCAGAGTTTAGCTCTAACCCTAATCAAACACACCTGAACATGCTAATCAATGTCTTCAGGATCATTAGAAAATCACAGGTAGCTGAGTTTGATCAGGGTTGGAGCTAAACTCTGCAGTGCATTGGACCTCCAGGGCAAGATTTGAGGAACCCTAATCTAATGCAATAGACCTCATAAACATTGTCACATCATCTAGTTCTTCCTAAGATGTGCTCATATTTGCAGGCTGATCATTTGTAAATGCAAATTTGTTTCCTGAAGACGTGATAAAGGTTGTGCACCCTCACCTGGAAATTGCAGACTGAAGCTTTTCGTTGCACTGACTTGAGTCAATATGCATTAAAATTTCATATTGGTCCTTAATTAAGCCATTATTATGAAATATTCTTCAGTGATCTTTAATAATAATTTCTATTTGTTACCACTAGAGGTCACTGGTGGTCTTTTTGAAAAAGCAAGTGAGCACTGTTTGTGGTAATTGTCATGTAGATGGCAGTAAAATTATTCTTTCTTTTTTTTTTTTTACATTTATTTGGAGACAATAGGGGTTTTAAATCACATTTTTTTCTGTTAAATATTGTGATTAATTATTTATATATTATTCTTTTCCTATAGTTACAATTCTTGACATGTAAACTAAGGTCATTAGTCGGTACACAGTAACTGGTGCAGCCAACATTGCTGTATCATGTTTTCCTAAGCATGCTGCTTTTTTTCTCAGGTTCAACATCAAGGTTAACCTGCAGCTAGTGACAAGCTTTATGTTGACTGGCATTTCTGGTGGCGCCAAGTACGCTCAGAACGGACAGTTGTTTGCACGCTTCAAGTTGACTGAGACGCTGTCTGAAGATACGCTGGCTGGGCGGCTGGTCATGACAAAGGTCAACTCTGTGCTGCTGCTGCCTGTCTTTAAGGAGCGGACGGGTCAGAACCAGCCAGCTGGAGCCAAGGAACGCGTGTATGAGGCCCTGATTGAGGAAAAAACAAAAGACTACATTTTTCTGCGGATCTGTAAGGACTGCTGTCTGGAGCTGGGGCTGGTGGCGGATCAGGAGCTCCAGGTATGTTATGACATCATTCAAAAAGACCTCCCATGTGCTGAGTATGTTGTTATAAAAAATAGCCTGTTTACACCCAAGCCTATTAACGCCCTCGCTACCAGCCAGAACATCCCAGAATATATATATGTTCTCCTTTAAACCGGCCAGAACACTCTAGCCTAGCAACGCCCTAGAAACGAGCCAGAACACCCGAGCGACTTTACCATCTTCTATAAATGAGCCAGGACACCCAACCTAGCAACGCCCTAGAAACCCACCAGAACACCCTAGCAACTTTTACCATCTCCTATAAATGAGCCAGGACACCCAGCCTAGCAACACCCTAGAAACCAGCCAGAACACCCTAGCAACTTTTACCATCTCCTATAAATGAGCCAGGACACCCAGCCTAGCAACACCCTAGAAACCAGCCAGAACACCCTAGCAACTTTTACCATCTCCTATAAATGAGCCAGGACACCCAGCCTAGCAACACCCTAGAAACCAGCCAGAACACCCTAGCAACTTTTACCATCTCCTATAAATGAGCCAGGACACCCAGCCTAGCAACACCCTAGAAACCAGCCAGAACACCCTAGCAATGTATAGTAACCAGAACACCTTGGAAACCAATTAGTGATAGCGACCCACCAAAACACCCTAGCAACCACCTGGGGTGTACATGCTTGAAATAAGTCTCCCAAACTACATAAGACTTATTTAACCTTCAAACTGTTTAATCTTTCAAGTACATTTTTGCCGTGTAAATACATCTAAATGCCACTTCAGATGCAACTTCTGCAAAGATTAATTTTATTGAAACTGGTTTCGTTTGTTTGGGAACAGCCTAAATGTCTTATTATTCTAATTGCCTTTCAAGTACATTTTTGCCTATATGTGACCCTGGACCACAAAACCAGTCATAAGGGTACATTTTTCGAAATTGAGATTAATACATTACCTGAAAGCTGAATAAATAAGCTTTCCATTGATGTATGATGTATCTTTTCACTTCTGGTTACTTGCTGGAAAAGACGTTAATTGGTTGATGTCTGTGTTGATGTATACTAGTGGTCGAGCAGGATATATATTGCCAAGGCCGATATTTGGCATATTTCAAATATCGGCATCAGCCGATAAGTTTTTGTTTTTGTCCGATATGTTTGCTTTTGACGGCGCTGAAAACGGCAGCACCTGCACACTAGGGGTGTGCGATATATATCGTTTGCGATAATATCGTAATAAAAGATTCATTTCTTTTCACTGATGTGAACTGACCACACAGAATGAAGAATATCAAAAACTGCAGCTGTCCATGGTAGTCAGATATCAGCACAATAACACACTCGGCAAAATATCGTCTAATTATCGTTATCGAAAATATCCCCAAAAATATAGAGATATAATTTTTTTTCAATATCGCACACCCCTACACACACAGCGTTCACATTCTCCCTCTTTGTTGTTTTCTGTCACCGTTTAACTGTTCTGTCTGATACGGATAGATGTCTGTCTAATAATAAGTAAAAACTGTTAAACAAAGGAATGTATATTTATATATTTATTTATCGGCCACCCTGCTTTCTAAGATATCGGCATCGGCTGTCAAAAAAACAATATTGGTCAACCACTAATGTAAATGGTGACGTGTTTTAGACTGTTTTCAACTTGTGTGCAGTCTCAGTTATCTTGTCATAGAGAGAGAAGTGTTAATGTAATGGAATTAGTTTAAGCAGCGTACACCATTTACTGTTGTAAATTGAATTGTGATGGCAGAAACCCCAGAGACTTTTGTCATAGGCAAGACGCCGTCAGCAAGCAGGCTGCCCTACAAAGAGCAGGCCTAATTTACCCTTTTTACTCGTCTAACAGATCCCATTTATCACTGTGCCCTGCAGCATAACACACGCTCTCTCTCACTGTATTTTAATAGTGTTGAATCGTTTTGTCTCGTGGAATCCCTGTGTGGGCTTGGGTTTTGTGTCGCCATTAGGGATGTCAACGATTAATCGATGATCGATTAATTGTCGATAAGAGATGCAATCGATTAAAGCTATCATGGTCGATTAAGTCGTTTAATTTTGGGCTGCGTGCGGCCTAGTCGCCACGTATGATAATTTGACACGGTTCCTTAAATGATTGTAAAATTGTCCCAGAACATTTCAAGCCATAAGTGGGATGATAATGGATCAATTCTAATTCAATTCTAATGCTGTGTAAATGGACTCAGAATTATCTCAGGTCATTCTAAACCTGTATGAATTATTTT